AAAAGAATGTAGGAGAAAAAGGAACCCTTTATACCCCGTGGGTGGGAATGTAAATGAGACTAGCTTATGGAAATCAGTATGGAGGTTCCTCAAAAAATTAAAAATAGAACCACCATATGGCCCAGCCATACTACTCCCGAATATACACCAGAAGGAAATGAAGTCAGCGCACAGCACTGACGCCTTGATACTCATGTTCCCGGCAGCACTACTCACAGAGCCGAGTTATGGAACCAACCTAGATGTGCACCTACAGATGCGTGAATAAAAGATACGGCATGTGCACAGTGGAGTGTTACTCAGCCATAAAGAACGCAGAAATCATGTCATCTCCAGGATAACAGATGGGACTGGAGGTCATGAGAAGTGAAATAAGCCAGACTCAGAAAGACAAATGTTCTATGTTCTCCCTACTACGTGGAAGCTAAAAGGATGCCAAGCAGAAGGGAGACTCTCATTAGAGAAGAGGGAGAGGAGAGGGCGGAAAGGGTGCAAGCACAGGTAACACGGAGAGTGAATAGGACCAAAGTACATCACAACATCAAAACACTTTCCCCAAAAGATGTGCAACTAGGCGGGAAGGTGGGGTAGAGTGATGGGAGAAATGATGAAATGCTTTATGCATGTAAAAAAAGTAAATTCTCTATTTTCCCTAGTTTGTAGAATAATCCACCTAAATATTAAACTCTTCTCAATTCAATTATTAGAAAGCCTCTATTCTTAATTTCTAAAGTAGTTTTTATTAGGAAGTAGGTTCTCTAAAACTAGAGTTAGATCTTATCAACTGCCTCCTGAACATGCACTAAGATAACTTATATATATTTTTTGCACCAGGGATTGAACTCAGAACTTTGCACTCACGAGGCAGGTGGCGGAACCACTGAGCTAACTCCCCAGCCCAGTAACTTATATTTTTAACCCCTTCATGTTTTATTGTATTTGGCTTGGCTCTTCTCAGAAAGAAATAAGCGCTGCAAGGGCCAGGGATTTACCTCAGTGGTTTTGCCACCTGCTGCACAAGCACCAAGGAGTTCAATCCCCAGTAACCCCTGACCCCCCAAAAAGGAAAGAAATAAGCACTGCAGACCAGCGAAGCTTCCTTGGTATTTGTCCCTACCTCTACCTGTCTCCCTCCTCCTCTAGTTTTGACGTTGGTGTGTACATCTCTCATCTGTTTTTATATTTCTACTTTATATGTGGTATTCATGACTAGTGGCACTCTTCTATCTTTTACATAGCTGGACACAGTGGTACATGCCTGTAATCCCAGCATTCTGAAAGGCTGAGGTAGGAGGATCGCAAGTTCTAGCCCAGCTGAGCAATTAGGTAATTTACCAAGACCTTGCCTCAAAATAAAATATAAAAAAGAGCTTGATGGAGCTCTGTGAGAAGGCCCTGGGTCCAACCCCTGTACTGCACATAAAGAAAAAACTTTACATAAGACATCATATTGTATGTATTCGTTTTTTAGCTTTCTCCTCAACATGGTGTTCTCAAGATTTACCCATGCTATCAGTTACAGATCTGGCTTACTTAAACCCTTTTCTAAGATTTCACTGCAGGAATATGGCGTCATCTGTGTAAGGCATTTAGGTTTACAACTAGAGCAATTTCAATTGATCTACTTCTTATGCAACCACTAGTTTCTGTCACCCATTTATTCCCCAGCATTTACTGACCACCTAGGTGTGCCCGGCCTCAAACACAGCTGTAAACCTGCACACCAATACCTCCACTAGGAGAGAAGGGCAGGCTCTGCCTGCTGAACGAATGTGTGTGAATACCTCTTCCAGCCTTGATTGTGTTACAGGAATCAATTTCTTCACCGAGAAGAATCCCTGGGTTTGTAGTTTAAATTCTTTAAGTGAGGCATGTGTTAGCAGCTCTCTTGGACTGTATTTTACAAACCCTGAAGCTTCCTAAGCATGCAAGTCTGGTTTTCAGTAAATGTATAGACTCCTGCAATGATCACCATCCGATGGTGCTCAAGGACGCCTCGTAACGTGCTGCAAGCATCCTCAACTCCATGCCCACCCAGGAACCCATTGCTCCACGTCTGTGTACAGCTGCTTTTCTGGACATTTCATAAAAACAAATCACGTAACACGGGATCCTTTGCCTTACATTTCTTACACAGCATGCTTCTGCAGTTCATCCGTATCAACAGCATGCAGCAGGTCATTCCTCTATTGCTGAGCTATGCTCCACTGTATGGACATAGCAGCTTGTTCATCTGCCCACGGGCATTCGGGCTGTTTCCATTTTGGACCATTATGAAACACACAGCTATGAATATTTGTGTGGAAGTGTGTGGATGTATGCTTTCATTTCTTTCTTTTTTTTTTGGTACCAGGGATCAAACTCGGGTCCTTGTGCTTTTGGTCCTTGTGCTTTCGAAGCAGGCAGCAAAACCACTGAGCTAAATCCCCGGCCCCAAAGTTTTAAAATTTATTTAAAATTTTTTCTTTATCCATTTTCAATTAGTATGTATTTTCAATACATAATACATTTGCCAGGGATATGGCTCAGTGGTACCATGCCTGCCTGGCAAGTGCAAGGTCCTGAGTTCAATCCCCAGTACTGAAAAAAATTTTAAAAATAAAAAACCAAAAAATACATTTATTGTGAGGAATCAGTATTTTTTTTTTGTTTTGGTACCGGGGATCGAACTAGGGTCCTTGTGCTTGCGAAGCAGGCGGTGGAACCACTGAGCTAAATCCCTGGCCCAGGAATCAGTATCTTGATCCTCTTTATTTCTCCTTCTCCCCTATGGTCTCTCCACAAATCCCTTCCCATCTCCACAAAGTCTATCTTCCTGTTTCCTACCATCTTTTATTTTGCTTCTAAATTATTTTTGCTTAGGGGTTTCTCATATGAGAAAAATATTATAATAATATAAAATATAATAATATAAAAAATACCATATTTAATCTTGTGGGTCTGATTTATTTCACTTAGCATTATGGTCTCAAGATGCTTCTATTTTCCCACAAATGACTCAAATCCTTCTTTGTAGTAGAGTAGTACTCCATTGTGTATATTTACCACAGTTTCTTTATCTGAGTATCTGTTGTGGGCATATAAAGCTGCTTCTGGGATTTGCCTATATTATAAACTATTTATATCAGTTTATATGCTGATATAAATAGGATATGTAAGTATCATTGTTCTATGATTTTTTTTTAATGTTTTGGGGAAGATACTCAGCTGGGTCAAGTGGAATCTCAATTTTTAATTTTTTGAATAATCTTCATACTGACTTCCATAATATTTACACCAATTTACATTACCACCAGCAATGTAGAAGAATTCCTTTTCACCCACAATCTCACCAGGAGTAGTTGTTTTTTGAGTTCATGGTGATAGCCATTCCTTCTGGAGTAAGATGAAATCTCAGTATTGTTTTGATTTGCATTTCTTTAATGGCCAAGGATGCTGAAGTTTTCTTTTTCTTTCATGTAATCATTGGCCATTTGTACTTCTTCTTCTGACAAATGTCTTTTCATTTCAAGTGCCATTTTTGATTAGGTCTTTTATTTGGGGGGAATCTAATTGTTTTCAGTTCTTTACACATTCTAGATATTAGTCCTCTGTTTGAGGAGTAGCTGGCAAAATTTTTTCCTATTTTGTAGATTGTCTCTTCATTCTGTTGGTTGTTTTCTTTGCTGTGCAGAGGCTTTTTTTTTTTT